CCATCTCAGCCTGATGAAATTTCAAATGCTCTAACAATTGTGCATTAGCAGTTTCTGGCTGAAGTATAGAAATTCACTTGAAAACACGTGACTTAGAATTCTCACAGGGAGCTAAGCTTTGCAGATTGGCTGCACATTACACTTTGGAGTCCTAGATCCCAATTAAAGGCAGGCTGTCAACTGAGTCTTAGCTTCGCTTATAGCCTCTGCCCTGGCCCAATGTAACAAGGCCACAGACAGCTTTGTTTGGCAACCCCAGCAGAGAAATCCAAAGCTGCACTGTTATTACTCTTCTATCGGGTCGCGGTCTGAATAGATGTGGGCTATAGAAAAAAATCTGTAGTATCAAGCTCATTCTTTGAATACATACAACTATTCAGTCTGTGGTCTGAATCTACTACGCTGAAATAGCAATGAAATCATGCAAAAACAATCACTGTAGACTACTGTACCACTCAGCCCTTAAGCCTTGCTGAGTGTGGATCTCACCATGAGGTGGAGGACTCAGAGCAACTGTGCTGGATTCCATTTAAACAGATAAAGTCTGGTGGCAAAGCCAGAACAGACAAACAAGATCTGTGTTCGTGCAAGGAAAAATATTTTATTTGTTGAGATGCACATAAGTGAATAGATGCCTATTAAAACAAGGTGAGGTGAGACAGCAGCATTTCACCAAGCTAGGTAACTACCATAAACCAGTCAACTTCCACCTACAGGTCTCCTGCTGAGTAACAGGAAAGTCAATAAACTGGCACCTGTGTCAATTTTTAAAGCCTCCTGCAAAGTCACTTGGCAACACAGATTTTCTTCTTCCTCCCAGCTTCCACTGAACTGAAACTAAAGCCTTCTTTGTTCCACTGCACCATTAGCATGTCTCAGTCCATCCCATAGTAGTCAATTACTATGTAGCTTAAAGGAAAAGTTCACATAGGCGAACAAGAGGTCAGAAGCACTTCAGTGTCAATGAAGTAGAACCTTTTTTAAACGTATGTACTGATTTAAAAAAAAAAGATATGAAAATGTACATCTGCCTCCTAGCAGATGCCAAAAATATCCATGGCTCAAATTACTCAGCAATGACACGCTCACAGTGTAACTTAGGACAAATTTATTTAAAAAAACCCCAACCAAACTAAAACAAAAAACCCAAATCCAATAAACAAACTAAACAAAGTAACCCAAACAAATCAGTGGACAGAAATATTCAGCTTAAAGAAAAAACAAACAAAAAACGGCAGTGGAAGGTGGTAAACACAACACTGATTTGGATCCAGAGCCAGGCATGCCAACACTGCTGACCTTCGCAGCAGTACTAACTCCATTAGGGAAGGTGTAACCTCATCCCACAGCACAGCTCTTTGGAATCCCCTGGGAAGCACAGGCACAATGAAAGGAGAGAAAAAAAAAAAAGAGGAAAAAACCCCAAGACCCCAATCCATTGGCCTGCAAGTGACAGAGAAGCCAAGAGACCAGAAGACTGAAACAGCCCCAAGACGCAGCATTCCACTTGTATTGCCATGTGCAATTGGCCAGTTCTATCGAGCAAGAAGCCAAAATGTATTTACCTCTTTCATCATCACTTTAGCAAACAACCACTTCAACCAGCTTTCACTATAGGGATGTTTCCTTGGAGACCACAACCCCATCGCTTAGAGCAGCTCACCAAGGAGAGGAGTGTCCAGAGGGTAGCTCACAGCCCACACGACCAAGAGCATTGGAAGAGCTGCCAAATGAACTCTCAGGTTTTTTGATGAGCCTTGAAATAAAAGGGGAATGTGGAAGACTGCAAAATATGCTAGTCTTCTACCAGTATTTTAAAAGGTTGAAACAGGATGAGGCATGTCACTCTTGTCAGCCTGACATTGATTCCAGACAAAATAATGAAAAAGCAGATATAAGACTCAGTTAATAAAGGATTAAAGGAGGACAGTGTAATTACTGCCAATCAACATCGACTTTACAGGAAAATATAACCTGTCAAACTACCAACACTTTTCGGTGTGATTACAAGTTTGAACGCTAAAGGTAACAATGTTGATGTAATACATTTTCACGTGGTGTTTTACTTGGTGCCAGAAAGCAGAGTGATGCAGCATCTCCTATCAGCTGATAGATTTACACTGCACCAGTAGATAAGGAGTCAGGCAGGGAGGTGCTACTGGGACTGTTGTTCCAGTGCTACATGCAAATTAGGCTGCTGGCATGGAGATATCTCTGTCTGTCATGTCGACTAGTATCGCTTCAGTCTCCCCCTGAACTCCCACCTACTCCACCCATCTGTTGCCACCTTTCCTATGCCTCGCCTGGAAGTGCCTTGGCACAGAACGGCCACCAGTCCCCGACTAGTACAAAGGACACTCTAATCCTGACCTAAGCCCTGCCTGGCACATCAGAGTCATTCTGCCAAACGTACTGCGTTGCTGTACTAGCCCATCTGCTTAGATAACCTGTCATTTTTAGCAGTTCAACAAACCAGGCTGCTCTAAAAATTTATTCACCAGGCAGTCTTCTCTAGCACGGAACTACCGCCTCTGATAGTTGCGTGAGTACGATACATAAACAATGGAAAGCTGTTCATATAAAGCAGACAGCTGAAAGAAAACATGGACCAAGCCTGACAGCAAGAACCTGGACACTGAAAAATTTAGTCAGCGAACCGAAGTCATTCAGACCCCCTTAAGATCTTCACTGCTTTTATCTCCTCTCCACGCAGAGCAGTAAGTGGGGCAGGGGACAGGCACAGAAGCGTACTTGGGTGTATCTTCCCAAACAACAGCTCTCACTCATACTTGACTGCAGAAATCTATTGTCAGTTTTTAGAAAGCTGTCAGGTTAGGAAAATGGAGTTTTCTTGGCGTCATCTCTCAAATGCTGTACAGGTTACATAAGAAATACATTTGGCATTTATGCATTTAAACATATTTCAGAAATGACAGTCTGGATACATGGTTAGGATGAAGCAATTTAAGGCACTCAAGCTTAGATTAGCCTGTGTTAATAGGAAAATAGATGGTTGATTTTTCCCTCAGCCAAGGCTGGCCCCCTCACCTGTAACTACCAGGCCAGGGTTAAAGTACGTTTGAGCTTGAGTAGATGTTTTTCACTAGGATAGTGAAGAAAGAACTATCACAAGCTAAGAAGGAAAGCATAACTGTCAGCACTGCAACCTTTAATGTCATTTTTAATATGACGTTTCAGAGCCAATGTTGCTGACCAACATAAACACAAGAAATTCTCTGACTATTTCACAACTGCAACCTCATTTTCTAGTTCTCATCTTTATGCCTCTACCTAATATTTACAACTTCAGCTCTCCTGCTTTCAGCAACATATTAACATGTTTTTGAGCACAAATGTAAAAAAAACCCAAAATATTTTGGAAGCTGAAAGCGTAGGTACAGACTAAAATAAACAGGCTCTTAAAACAACGTATCGCAAGCAGCTGCTGCATTAGGGGAATTAATTTTAGGTTTAAGTCAACAGAAGCCTTTACTGTGGAGCCCCAGCCATTCCGGTGTGAGGTTCCACAATACCATAGGAGCCAGCAAACCTCGCTTTAAGTAGGCTCAGCACAGCACCACACAGAAAAGATTGATGTTGTTTGTTGAAAGTCCTATGATTACATCTTCTGCCTTCTTTTGTTAATCTTGGTGTACACACAACAACAAACAGCAAGCACATGTATTTTGGGGCTCAAATTCCCTAAAATGCGCAAGGAAGAAAAAGCCAGGCTGTTTCCCAGCCGCTAAGGAACAGGCAAACTGCGAGGAGGGCTGAAGGCAGGTGTCTCCAGCAAATCGGGGCACACAAGAGCTCTGCAGTGTTGCCTGGCAGCAAGTAATTATCTGCCAGTGTGCTGTTTCCACGTGCCAACAGCCAAAGCCCACACAGGCAGCAAGCACGGGAAAGTAT